AAAGAGGAGATTTTTTTTCGTAGCGGTACTTTTCGTGGACTTTTTATTCTGTGACAATCGCCTACAAAGAGTTTCAGTATTAATGATAAATTTAGTTCATCGCTGACGCTTCTGACCGACGCAAAGGGATGAATTTTGCCGTAGTGTCATATAAGGTATTGGGATCGTCAACAATGGATGTTTGGCACTTTTGCCCATCTGTTTCATTTATATTCCATAATTATGCATTTGCTACCAGCTGGACAAAATATCGTTCTATTTATTGAAGAATGTTCTTCTTGGTACGTTCGGATTACGTCGTGCAATTCGCCCATTGAGGAGTTTTCTGCAATCTACGGCGGACTATCTATGCTGATACACGTACACCTTGTTTATGCCTCATTTGGCTCTAATTTCACGTGAGGTCAAAAAGGATTCCCTGGCTCATCCGTACTATTTGCCTATCGTCATTAAATGTTGTATTTCTGCGTTTTTATGGGTAAAATTTTCAATGATCTGATTTTCCTAAATATTGCATATTTCTTTAACCTTCCATATGATTTTTCACACGGAGCTGAGCTCTTATTTCGACTATTATTTATAAAACTTTCAAAACGTATTTAAATTAGTGAAGACAATACACTTTTCACTTTCTTAATATTTTTCGTAGATCGTTGCAATAACGGCTTTTGTTACAATGACTTAATTATGTGAGCACACGCGACTAGACCAACTGAGAAACAATTAAATTTTTCGCCAACCACATTACTAATTTCTCTGAATTTTTCTTAGCAATTCAAACAGATAACTGAAACTTTTCCATACCATTATACAAATGCAAGCTACTTCGAGGACTTTATATTGTGAAACGTTAGTTTGCCATGCAGTGACATTTTGTATATATAATATATAAAAGAATAAAAACAAGTAAGGAAGGGCTAAGTTCGGATGTAACCGAACATTTTATACTCCGCAAAGTCAAATGGTATACTCGTTTGAGATTTCTTTGTGGATTGGCTGATATTTTCGGTAGAGGTCAACTATAGGCACTGGGTCCACATATTTAGTACTTAGGGCTTAAACAGTTTTGGTTCGATTTAGACAATTTTAGGTCACAAGGTGGCATACATTAAACGTATATTCACGCAAGTTTTACCCCGATGTAATCATTGTTGCTTGATATGCATAGTGGAAAGTGAAAGAATCAGATGGAATTGAAAATGGTGTTATATGGAAATAGGCGTGGTTGTAGTCCGATTTAGCCCATTTTCGCACTATAACTAGAAATATGAAAGAACGTTATACACCGAATTTGTTGAAATCGGTTAGCGATCTCAAGATATGGGTTTCACCTAAAGTGGACTGTGCCACGCCCACTGTCTAATTTTGAACGCGGTTCCTATAAAGTCATCTATACCATCTCAGAGATAAAATTTAATGTCTCTGGCGTGTTTAGTGCTTGATTTATCGCGTTTTTAGTAGTTGTTAACAGTACCGTTATATGGGGAGTGGGCGGAGTTGCCACCCGATTTCAGCTATTTTCACACTGTAGGTAGAGGTTCTAAAAACATTTGCTTTCAGTGAGTTTTGTTATTATATCATTAGCGGTTTAGGAGATATGCACATTAAACCTATTAGAGGCGGGACCACGCCCACTTTTAAAAAAAAGTTTTAACTGCAGATGTTCTTCCCTAATGTGATCCTGTGTACCAAATAACAGTCTTGTATCTTATTGCGCAGCTTAGTAACCGTCTCACGGTACCAAGAAACATGTCTACCAAGTTTCATAAAGATATCTCAATTTTTACTCAAGTTAGAGCTTGCACGGACGGACGGACGGACGGACGGACAGACAGTCACCCGGATTTCAACTCGTCTCTTCATCCTGATCATTTATATATATATAACCCTATATCTAAATCGATTAGTTTCAGGTGATACAAACAACCGTTAGGTGAACAAAACTATTATACTCTGTAGCAACAGGTTGCGAGAGTATAAAAATCGAGTTATTTTTCCTTATTCCCAAAATAAATTGTTAAAGTTAGGCCATTTTTAAGGTCAATCTAGAGACCCAACCCCTTAATATAATTTGTTATAAAATGGGTACGTGCCAATTCGGACCAGACTTTCCACTCCTTAAATTCTTAAAAAATACAACTCGCGAACTTAGAACTCTTTCAATAGGTTATGTCTTGTTTTCCAACTTAAAACCGTTGATAAATTAATTATATCTTTCAAAACTGGGCGTATTATCAAATGATATTATTTGAGATTAGTTTCAATCAGCACCGAACAATTTCTTTACATAGTGTTTTGTGTTTTGTTTTAGCGTTTGAAACGTACATAAATAACTGTTAAATACACACCTCCAATATCTGTTGATCTAAATCGGTTGCGTTTGGTTGCATTGGCTTGTATTCAAGTGAAATTGTTCCCGACGTTATATGCAAATGTTCATCATTTCCGGCTTCACGCGCAATATCTGCAATGAAAAAGGCAAAAATATGTACATACAATAAAACCACCGAATTCAGAGAACTAAATGTGAATCATATTATTGCCAACAACAACAATAGTAGTGAAATAAATGTTTATGATTTACAGTATAAACAGACGAATGGATGAATGAGTTGAACGTAGCGAATTAATAATTTCTGCACATATACATACATGTGTACACATGTATATACAAGTATGTATGTTTGTATGCGTATGCACATACCTATGCAATATTATATTGCCTTTGGTGGTGTTTGTGTTTTAAAAGCTAAAAACTAAAATACGAATATATACGAGTATATTTAGCTAATTAGACTTATATAAAGAACAAATTCAAAGGAATATATTTTTTATATTTATTTCCCAAATAATATTTATTTATATTCGGATTTTTTATTACGAAATCATTGAACTTCGTACAGACACATACACACATACATACATATAAACGTACATATTTATGTATATTCTCAGAGTGGAATTGGATTTGGAATTGGGTGAAATAAAATGATTCTGGAAGTGTGCTCTCCGGTTTTGTGTGAGCGTTATCGAATTATAATTTTTAAATTCAGTAAGCATAATTTATACTAAAATATAATTTATGTATGTATGTATGTATATATGTATCTAGAATAACTGACTTCCAATAAAAGTAAAGATTTCCTGAAAAAAGCCCATTATATTTGTATAATTAATTTATTTACATAGACTTATACATATTATATATTGATATATATGTACATAAGTATATACACATATGTATAAATATATTTGTTTATTGAAATAAAATAATTTTTTCTTAGAATTGGAAACAATAAATTGCGTAGCCGCCATCTACGACTTAAAATTTTTTGAGAGGTGTTGTGGGGTGTACAGTATAACCACTGCGACTAAAAATAGTAGACATACGCAATTTTAGTTTTGTTTTTTGAGTTAAAATTTGAATTTTTAGCTAAAAATTAGCATTTTATTCACTATCATTTTTTAGAAAAAAAGATTTACGATTTGTTTGTTTTCACGACATTCTCTTGTAAGTACTCCCACTTAAGATGAGGTTATTTACAGTAAATATTGAAAAATTAGCCGTCTACTGAGTCTCTAACAATTTATTATACAAATGAAATATAGAAATTTTAAAATATATACTTATATATGTAGCCTTGGACTAGAAAATTCAATAAAAAATTTCATCAATAGACTTAAAGTATCTCGTTGCAAAAGCTAAAATTTCATGAGCAATTAAAATTTTGGTATTGCCTTTGAATAAAATATATTTCCCGGGTATAGAAATATCTTTACCTTGATTTTGATCGGTCGTTTGTATGGCAGTTATATCCTTTCGTAGTCCAATCTGAATTATATTCTCGGAGATTATAAAGTTGCAGTAATATATGTCAAATTTCTTTTGATTTTGAGTGATCAGTTTATATGGCAGCTATATTTTGCAGTGGTCAGATATCGGCTGTTCCGTCAAATGAGCAGCTCTCAAACTGAGGGACTAGTGCGGACATGGAGATTTATATAAATATGTATGTATGTATGTGCACGAAGTGTAGAAAATGAAATATTACAATAATATAGTGATTAAAGCAACCTATTGTCCCATGCTTGTATATTGTCACAGTAATTGTATTGGAGAAATGGAAGAAACCCATAGTTTTTGTCACTTCTAGTGAATTTTTTACTAGTGATTACTTGGAACTTCGTGGGGAAAAATATACAATCCCAAGTTTAAGGGCCGATGCTGCGGTGCATTATCAATCTATTCGTCTTATGTACTTGACAAAAAGATTTACTTTTGGCTTGCCCACTTGCATAGTCTAATACACCTAGATTAAAAAAAAAATTCAGAACGTCAAAATAATAAATGGGCGATATTTAAAACATTTGGTGGAAATTTTGCGACGGCCGCGAATTAAATAATTCTTAAAAAAAAATAATATGTTTTAATTAAATAAAATGTTTCCTATTTACTCAAGCAGTTCGTACAAAAACAAACACTATACAATATCACTTTTTGTATATATAATTATTTAAGTGAATTACTATAAATATCTTTTATGTATGCTGGGCATATAACGTTCCGTTATTTTATGAAATTTTTCAAAATTTATGGAGCACGCATTTCACATAGACTCTTATAAATATAAATTTATATGTTTTAATTAAATATTTTTTATAAATTAGAACATAATCTATGCGTGTGTGTATATATAGCTATAAAGCTATTATCCACCGGAATGTGAGGAAAAATTTATAAATAACTCAAATGTAGGTATGTATTTTGCTTAAAGCCCGCAAGAAGTCTATGGCAAAATAAAAACACACAAATACTTTATCATTTATACTCGAAGATGGTATGTGTATGTACACACATACATACAACATTTATAAATTATAGATAAAACCAACAACGAATAATTTTCTGATTGACTTATCAATAGGTTTAAGAAAATGAAGCAATAATGAATTTAAAACTAGATTACTTGTCAATTGATATCTCTAAAATAACTCTGGAATAAATATGTATGTATGTGTGTTATAAACATGTATGTGTGCATATGCGTAACAAATTCTATTTTTGAAATGCGAGCAAAGCATCGACACGTGTCTAGTTTGATTTATTAGTAAAATTGAATGAAGGGTAGACAAATACAACAAAAAAAAAACACATAACAATAACATAAAACTAGAAAAAAAATGTAAAAACATCGATAAGGTAGTGTCGACGACGACCACAATAGCAATGAAATCCAAACTGACGGAGAGTATTTAAAAGTTTCAAAAAACTGATGTACATATAAGTACATATCCACTAACATGTATGTACATATTTATGTATGTGTGTAATTAGTTAGCTTTATTAATAAACTACCTAACTGAAAAGCTTATAAAAATAATTCAGCGACTAGACTTCTCTGTCAATAATAACAACAAACATATTTTTTTAAGTTTCTTTTATTTACTATGTGAAACGCAAAATATTGATATTTGAGCAAAAGCTTACAACAAGCGGTATTTGTTTTTATAGTTATTTAAATTGAATTTACAATTTGATGGCGTAATTATCTTCGTGAAACGTGTCACGAAAATAGAAATTAAAATTTTTTTTAGTATGAATTGTTTTAAATAATTGGCTTAAAGGACTGTTCAAAGGACAACCATTAATTTTGTACATATAATTTATTCGGAAAGTATAGCGTTCCTTTTTACAATAACCCCTGCCAAATTTCGTGAGAATAATTTGTTTAATTGTCTTCTTTTAAAGTTTTCCATACAAAGACTTGATTTTGATTGATTTCTTATATACGCTATATGCTGTAGTGGTCCGATCTGAACTACATATATGTATGGAGATTATAAAGTTGCTTTAGTGAAGATATCTTGTCAAATAAAAAAGTTTTCCGTACAAGGACCTAATTTTGAGCGATCAGTTTATATGACAACTATATTCAACAGTGATCAAATACCGGCGGTTCCGACAAATGAGTAGCTTATTGGAAAGTAAAAGACAGATCGATATCTCAAACTGAGAAACTAGTTCGCGAATATACCGACAGACAGACATACGGACATGTAGATTTACTTAGCCCCGCCTTACATGTTTTTTTTTTTATATTAAGCACAGAGCTGGTGGCCAAATATTCTTTATCTGAGGAGTCCATGTTTTCTATTTTCACTTGCGTAAGTGCAAATAAAATTACCATATTTAAAAAGAAAAGTAAACATGTACGAGTATAATGCCAAAGTACGCGTGGAAATCAACCCTAAATCTCGCATCCACTCTGCGGTGCCGAATATTGATCAGCACAAGACTCTTAATCCATAATCTGAATATAATATATTGGGTCGTTCACCAAGTAATTTCTCTTAATAACGACAGCTGATCTTAATTATTTTTTAGTAGCTGATATAGTAAGGCTTGTTTGTACAAAAATATCTGAAATATTTTTGGGATAGTTTATGTTTGGTGACCTATCGAAGATGGAAGATCGAAAACAGCATTTTCAGCATATTTCATTTTTTTACTATCAAAAATATAAACATGCAGTTCAATCAAGGCGAAATTACGTGATGCGTACGGAGAAGATGTGTTGACCGAACAGCAATGCCAAAATTGGTCCGCGTCCTGGAAGACATCTTGAAGAAGATGTGGATAAAATAAAGTCTTTGGTCGATGCAAATCGTCGAAGAAATTGCTAAAAGATTAAATTTGTGTAACACGTAATTCTGAAGTGTATTCTGATCAGCTGGACAAATTGTGTGATGCCCTCAAACAGAAAAGGCCATAATATAATATACAAGTATGGTCAATAGAAAAAGTGTACTGTTCTACCAGGATAAAGCAAGGCCTCATATAGGTTTAATGACTCGCCAAAAGCTTTTGCAGCTTGCATGGGATGTACTACCACAAAAAAATTGTGTTTAAATTGCACTAAAAAACGAAATTACTTAGTGAATAGCCAATAATACTAACAGTAAATTCCAAGTAATAGGTTTACCTTATTAAAATATATGATATGTCTTATGCATGCTTCTATGCACTTGATATACCATGTATATACATATGTACATACATATATAAGTATGTATATAATTAGTTATTAATATAAATTCAGTTGTTTACATACGCACACACACTCTTATAATTATATTTCCTTGTTTGTTTATACTGTCACTTTTGTGTTTGATATCTATTATTATGTATATACGTATGTACAAAAGTATATATACAAGTTTATGCATTAAATAAATAAAATCACATTACAATTTCTATTTTTTCTCTAATTAACTTTGAAAAGCTTATACACGGTATTTGTTTTCTAAAAATAGAATAGATTGTACACACGCATACACACATACATGTGTGTAAACATACTTAATATTTATTGTATTTTCGAGGTTTTCTTACGTATTTATACATACATACATTCACGCATATATAATCAGAATAATCGTCATGTCATACTTACGCCGAATAGT